TATATATATATATAAATGAATATTACATTTGAATATATAAATTATATTAAAAAATTTATAATTAGATATTTTGAAATATATAAATTATATTTTACTTATAAGATAAATAATTTATATTATAGTACAAGATTATTTAAATTATTAATAATTTATTTTTAAAATATTAAAATGTAATTCATAAATAAATATGATAAATTAAAAAAATTATAAAAGAAGTTAATAGAATCCATAAAAATGTTTCCGTCAAATAATAATTTGATGAAATACTCACGTACATAATTGTTCATATTTAAGACATCATTTTATTTATATATATATATATAAATCACTCGTTTATATTTTTTTTATCCATAAAATGATAGATAGAAAATGATATATCATAACATCAAACAAAGAGTGTGATAGAATCATACTCAAAAGTCAAATTTAAAAGAAGTGAGATAGACTTGAAAGTAGAAAACCTAAGTTTATGATTAAGCTTTGGACTATTTATCTTTTAGTCCATTTTTTTCTTGTTAATATTTTCTTGTAATACTTCTTTAGTTTTGACATTTATTTTAGATCAAATAGTTTAAGAATTTATTTACTTTATATTTCATTTTGGAGTGTAATTAATAGATTGGGAGTATAACTAATATGTAATACATGGAGCTGATTGACTTTGTATTTGGGCCTATGGAGTGACACCTATCCACAGAGGTGGGACCTCCACATAATATTTCCTACACCTTATAAGTTACACAAATCTAATTAGTCACATGCAACACCCACTAATTATTAGGGGATTTGCATCTATATGGTTAGTTTCTACATAGACAGTTTCTTAGTGTAGGGGTTAAGCAGTTACATTACAGTTATTTTCTTTTACTGTATTACGTATATAACAAATTCTCATTTAATGAGAGAATAAAATAAGTTATGTATGATGTATATAACAAATTCTCAATTAATAAAAGAAGAATAATAAGTTTTTTTTTTTACTAAATTTTCATCTTTGTGTTGTGGTATTAGAGCAATCAGTTTGGTACAATTTTGCTTCACAATCCTAAAATTCTACAATGGAAGGAATTTCAACCTCAACAAGAATAAACCAAGATCCTTTTTTAGTGTCTCCATCATTAGATGAGACTAATTATTATTTTTGGAGTAGAAGCATGAAACAAGTCTTGCTGACTAAGAACAAATTGAAGTTTGTTAATGGCAAGATATCTCCTCTAGCAAGTGATGATCCTCTTTATGAGGCATGGGAAAGGTGTAATGTCATGGTGCTCTCTTGGATTATAATAAATTTATCTTTAGAGATTGTTAAGAGCATAATTTGCAAAGAGGATGTCAATAAGTTATGTGGAATGAGAGTATTAATTGTATTTTACCAAATAGTACCTCTTATTTGATTAAGAAGACTACTTACTAACTTTTCATATTAAACCAAACTTGTAGAAGTAATATCAGCGCAGTGCAACAACATTAATGACTTTTTCTATTTTTCTCCGTGATTATAGAGATTTATGACCTTGATCTTGACAAAAAATATATGATCTTGTTTTCTTTACCAGATTTGTGAGTTTCAAGATAATCTTCTATTTTGATTTGTTAAGAAATAAAGCATTCAAGAAGTTTTTGTCGTTAGTGTCAATAAATAATAAACATTTAATGTATATGAGATAAACTATATGTTTCATTTGATTTTCATCATCTTATTGATCTGTGTCTTACACTTCATTTGATAAGTATTTCCAAAGATATTTTTCAAAGACATTTTTGAAGATATTTTTTCTTATAAAAACTTTTTGTTTGTTAGCCTTAAAACTCTAAACTCAAGAGATCGAATATTGTCCTTTGACTCAACAACATTGATATTAGAAGGTCAGTGATCGATTTTCCTTAGAGATTCTCTTATTTCTTAGCATTCCAAGAAGCAAAACATTGTTTCAAGATCCTTTTTCTAAGATAGAGTACCACACACTTGCTTCTACTATTTGTGATTATAATGGATGACTTATTTACTTCATGATCTTCATCTTCCCTTCATTTCACCAAAACAATTGTTGGACAATTGGCAAACATATCAATTGTGCATAGTATTTTTAAAATAAGATCATATCTCAAGATAACTTGTGCAATATATGACAAATGTAACTCAACACACTATACTATAACCCAAAAGAATGAAATTGTAATTTTCTGAAGTTGGGTTTTTATATAAATGAACTCTAAAGTAACAACATAAGTAATAACAATAACTTTTCATTTGGGATTGTTGTCAAACACATGAGACAATACTTAAGTAAAATCAAATGAAGAGAATTATTAGGATTGGATTTCACTAGACCACCATCATGTATTAGTTTGTAAAAGATTTTCCTCTATCTTCCATCTCAACATTAACAAAACCACAAAAGGTCCCTAAACCTTAATTCCTTAGGAGCTCGAAACCATGTATTTCACTCAAATCTCTAATCCTTTGGCTAACTTGATTGAAATACAAGCATTAAAAATAGGTAGTGCATAAATATGCATTAAGCTTCATATTCATTCCTTAATATGACTTTCAATGTGTGCCTTAACTCCCACGTAGTTGAAGAAGTATTTTCTAATAACAACTAAAACAATAAATCACTCAAAATACAATAAATCAAGAGAGCATTAAGAGAAGAGTGAAAACACTAATGAATATAATGAAACATAGATTAAAGAAATAAAGTTAATACATGATGTTCAACTAGTTACATCCAATTCCATTGAGTGGGAATTTAGCTACAAAATTGGAATCACTAAAAATGATGAAGGATTGAAGAAGTGAGGAAATGCAACTCTCCTAAGATATTCCTAGCCTCCAAAAGTCTTGTCAACAATGTTTGCAATAATGCCTTTGAATCCCTAGAACAACCTTATTAGAGAACATTCTCTTTGTCTCATAGGTCCAGGTGTCCGCTAACTTTCACTTAGTGACCAAGTTCGCTCGTTGAGCTAGAAAACATCTTTGTTGCTTGATAAGTGTCTAATTAAGCTTGATTTAACAACCATTTGAGACACTTATCTAGCACATTTTGTGTACATATCAACATTATTTTGATCTATATATGCTTAGAATCAAAGAGGTATTTTGATTGTGCAAGTACATGGAATGATGAAGCTTTTGATCCATTTTGGTGTGCATTTTGTAGGTTTTGGAACCTGGAGAAGACTGGCTCAGCCATTCTAAAGCGCCCAGCGGATTAGCTTGTGCTGGAGAAGGAGTGCTCTCTGCCTCAAATCCGCTCAGCCACTCAAATCCGCTCAGCGGATTTCATCCAGGAACAAGGGGTGCTCTCTGCCTCTAAAGCGCTCAGCGGATCTAAGGCGCTCAGCCATTGAGATTTCTTCAGGGTGAAGAATTCCCAATCCGCTCAGCCGTTCCAAGGCGCTGAGCGGATTTATCTTTTTAGTGTTACCCTGTTTTCATATATATTAAAAGGAGGAGAGAGAAAAGGGGGAAAGAGGCTGCACGAAAGAAAAGAAACAGAGGGGGGAGAGAAACAGAGTGCTCTGGAGCTCGTGGGAACGCGAATCTTCAAGGGATCTTCTTCTTCTTCTACCTCTCAACCTGGGTTTTGGTGATTTCTTGTAATATGGAGAGCTAATCTCCAGGGTTGGGATAGATGTAATCATCAAACTCCTATGTATTCTCTTTGATTCATATATATATATCATCCATTACTTGATGTTAGTGATTTCTTCCTGTTCTTAATGCTTTGATAAACTGATCACTTATCCATGCTTTTGGGGTTTGGGATTCGGTCGGAAGACGTTTTGCAAGCCTAGACTTGGAACGAATCACCTATTAGTTTTGAGATCCAGGAATGGTCTTGAGATTAATAGTTATTTCAAGTTCTAGTTCTTAATGCGGGATGTTTAACTAAATGAAGTGAGGGATCATTCATTAAGTTAGATATCTTAGAATTTCTTATGCCAAGGGATTGGGTTGGAATGAATTTAGTGAACTTAATGACAATGGGTAATGGAACTTTTGAAAAGAATCAATAGGAATGCATAGGAGGGAGATTGATGAAGTCAAATCCCAACTGTTTCTTATATCTGTTTTCTTTAAATCAAATTACTCTTTGGTTTCTTGAAGTTGGAAAATCATATATCTCAAATTTGAATATGTGTAACTATTCCAGTTTTAAATTTATAAGCATCAACTAATATAATAGAAATCTAAGTTATCTCACAAGTCCCTGAGGTTCGACAACCTTTTATTTTTACTACAGAGACTTGGGTGCGCTTGCCTATTAAAAATCCGAACATTGTTGCTCTAGGGTTGTCTCACATAGTGCCCATGTCTCGCTCAACGAGATAAACTTTTTTGTGATTCAATCTCGCTAAGCTAAAAAGGACTCGTTGAGCAAGCCATTTGATTTGTGGTAGTTATCAAATTCTCATTCAATGACCACATTTTGCTGAGTAAACAGACTTCTTTGTGGCTCTCCATCATAAAATTTTTGCTCAGTAACTAGATTGGCTCGTTAAGCAAAAATCCAACTTTAACTCCCAATTTTCTTATTGATTCTTTAAGTGTTGGAGTTTTCAACTTTATTCATCTTCAACTTCTTTGCAAAAAGAGTTCCATTTTTGATATTTAAGCCAAGATTCCTAAAAAGTACAAAGAATTGTAAACTTAAAGAATTTATACCAAAAAGAGGTTGACAACACTAGAAATAAAGGAAAAGAAAGATAATTGTTGTGATTAAGTAAATCACACAATTATCAACTATTATGTTGTGATAGTCAATTTGTTCATCATATTGCAGCCAATGCTAGTTTTCATGAATGAATCAAGCACATAGACATTGATTGTCATGTTGCTTGAGAACAATTACAAGCTAAAATTTTCCATTTGCTACTTGTTCGTAGCTTTGCTTAGTTAGCATATATACTCACTAAACCTTTAGATCCTCAATTGTTCACTAACTTTCTGTACAAGCTGGGAGTGCTTGATATCCATTCTATGGCTTGTGGGGAGTATTAGAGGACATGCATCCATACAATTAGTTTCTACACAACCAATTTCTTGGTCTAGTAGGTTATGCAATTACATTAGTCGTATGTTATACAATTACAATTATATTATTTTACTTTATAAAGTATATAACAAATTCTTAGTTAATGGAAGAAGAACAATAAGTTCCTTTTACTAAATTTTCATTTCCGTGTTACTAGTCATTGTAGACACCCAATTTCGTCCGGGCTCACAAAAGCAATGAAATTAATAGACGTCTATTATCAAGGAAAGGAGCTCTCGAAGCATGGAAACAACAGGACATGATATCAAGAAGACCTAAAGCCTAAATAAGCTGGTTTTAGTAGCCCAGAACGGGCTATTCCAAGACCAGAATCGGCCTTTCCCAAGACCAAAACGGGCTGTTCCCAAAACGGAACGGCCCGTTCTAGAACAGGTTGTTATAAGCAAGATTTGCACCTAGAACGGGTCGTGCCGCTTTAGGAGCGGGCCGTTCCAGATTCTTATTTTACCCATAATAGACTTGCCCAGAACAGACCGTTCTAAAACTGAAACGGGTTGTTCCAAATCATCAAATGGGCCTAAAACCCTAGTTTGGATAAGGTCATTCCGGAATAGCTTATAGTAAGTAAAATTTGAACCCAGAACGGGCCGTTCCACTTTTGGAACGGGCCGTTCTAGATTCTTATTTTACCCATAACGGACTACCCCAAAATAGGCCGTTCCAAATCTGGAACGGGCCGTTCTGGCCCCTTTCTGGTGCCTATAAATAGAAGACTCAGGCACAATTCTCGAGAGAGAGGAAAATTTCGAATAAGACTCCTTTGAGCACGAAAATTTCTTATTTCTCTCTCTCCTATTGTATTTCTTTCTTGAGATTCGGTAAGGCAATTATAGTGTGAAAGGTTGTCACAAAGCACCTTGATTGTTTATATGTGAAGATCTAACAAAGCTTGTTACGAGGTATTTCAATCAATCTTCTTCTCTATCTTTTATTTCTTATCTTTATCTTCTTCCCTATCTTTTATTTTTCATCTCTAATAGACATTGTTATAACAAAAGCAATCATGTAGATATTTTAAGGTTAATTGTGCAATTTAAATTTTAAGCATGTAAATAGTAATTCATAAAGGGGATAAAATATTTAAATTATTAATTCTTACTATGTTAATTTCATCATAAGGGTACCGATTAAGGGCGTTGTAGGGGTGCTTAATACCTTTCCTACACGTAATCGACCCCCGAACCCAATTTTGGTTATCAAGGTCGTTATTGGAACTTTAAAAACCTTTTTTTTCTCAATATTTTGAGTAAAACATTGGTGGCGACTCCATGAACCTATTTTCAAAACCATTAATTAAGGATTAGTCTGGTGTCCGTACATTCCTTAATTGATGAGATTTTTAAAAGGATGTCTAAACCATAGGTCGCGAGAACGAAAATTTTCGGGTTGCGACAGTCATCCCATTCACACTTGGAATTTGGATCCTCTCCTGCAATTTTCTCTCTCCAACCTCTCTCCTGCAACATTAATAGCCATTAGATATATCTAATGACTTAAATTTAATCATTTAAGAAGCTACATTAATTATAAGATTAAATTTGAACCATTAGATATATCCTATGGCTATTAATGTTGCAGGAGAGAGGCTGGAGAGAGAAAATTGCAGGAGAGGATCCAAATTCTTCACACTTGCTATATGGAAAACTCTTATAGGTTGGTTTAGATTTAGAGCACATGGAGTACATGGCACATGGAAGAACATGGCTTTTAGAGCCAAGGGTTTGGTGCCATTATCTTAATGCAAATTCAAATAGGCGTGCAAATCACCATGGTTAATCCAATGTCGGGTTCTTTTCTAACCTTGGTTAATTAACTTGTTCCCTATGCTAGCTTAGTCTATATATAGCTTCCCCTTATATATTAGATGTAACTTCAAGCAAAATTGGGATTTGAGCTTCCAAAATTCTCTTTTCAAAGTCTTATTCTCTCTGAGGACTTTCACTCCTTAAAATCTTTCATTAAGGAATTTCTCTTTATGAAAGATCATCACTTCTCCTTGAAGATAGCACACCGAAACCATAGTTTTCTCTACAATATTTGTTTGTCTCTCTTCAATCTGGAGCCATGGATGAAGATTGGAGGATGTAGGAAGCTAAATAGATGAATTTGCCAAGCCTTCTACACATGGTTTCTCTCAAAGTCAATGACATGTTGGAGATCCTCAAACCAAGCATCATTGTTCACTTTGTAATGTCCAATTTGACCCAAGACTTTGCTTGCCAAACTGAGAGCCAACAAAAGCCCACTAGAGAAATTTCACCTTTAGCGTCAAAGGATTTCTTTGAGTAGGTATATCTATTTTTTTTATTTGAATTGATTTCAAATGGCTATTCTCCAATATTTTAGATAAAAATAAAAAGGAAACAATTTTTTGTAAGAGTCAAGACTGGGCACTTGCTTCATTCATCTTAATCTTTCTTCACTTCGACTTAACTCTACTCAAAGTTGACCTGCCAACAACAATTGAGTTTCAGATGTTGCCTAACCTCTATCAGTCCCTACCATCTCAAATACTCACTCTTCAAGACCCTTAACAAATTTCCCAAACTTAGAATCATTTGTCGCATAAAAAAACGGTGATCAAGATATATTTTAATAAGGGTAAAAATCAGCTAAACTCATGTACCATATAAAATTTGATATCAATTCGAACTTGCTATATAAAATCATAAAGTATATAATTTTTAAAATTGAGTCATTTGCAACTTCAACATGATTCTTAGATGGTAATGGGATTCGTTATTATCCAAGTAGTTCACAACCTCAACATGACTCTTTAATTGCACTAAGGTTGGCTATTATCCAAGTAGTTCACAACCTCAACATGACTCTTTAATTGCACTATGGTTGATTTATTCTTAGAGTAGTTCGCAACCTCAACCCAACTATTTGATCGTACTAGAGTAAAGTATTATTTGAGTAGGTTCATAACATCAACATGACTCTATCATTGTACAAGGGTTGACTATTATCCAAGTAGTTTGCAACCTCAACACAATTATATTTTACTATGGTTAGTTATTATACAAGTCACAACTCTTTGGTTTTATTGGGATTGATTATTATCTAGGTCATTACTTTTTTATCATACTAGGGTTAGTTATTATTTAATTTGTTTGTAATTTCAATATGACTTTTTGATCGTACTAGAGTCAATTATTATTTAAGTCATTTACAATCTCGCATGACTCCTTCATTGTGCTAAAGTTTGTTATCAGTTAAGTCCTCCACAACCTCAACACAACTTTTTGATTGTAAAAGGATCAATTCTTGTCCGAAACAAATAATGATAGTGAGAATCACTTTTTTTTTAGATGCTGAGCTTTCACTTTTTCTACCATAATTTCCTTTTCTGTTTCGTTTCCACCACTTAAATTTTGTATTCAGATGGTGAAACCACATAAGTGCCAAATAGAAATACTAATAAATAATTATTAAAAAATAACACACTATTTTCTCTATAAATTATTGGTATAATTATTAAGTACTAAATTACTAGCATAAAAGAAAAAAGTAAAAAAAAAATTCAACTAACATAAGGTTTTTGAATTTCCTTTTTCTCAACTTCGATTCTCATAGGCCAAATTTTGGTCTCCATCATTCATTATGCGTACAAATACATGTTTCCAACTAAATAGGAGAACAGGCAAAGAAAATCAACTTTGGCTTAGCATAATACAATATCTACAACAGTGAAACCAAATCAACTTCGTCATTGTGTTACAAATTGCACAAAAATCTATTAGTCCTCGTAATGAAATGAGATCTCAATATCAAGCAGGAGGAGGCTCAGGACCAGCCGGTTTTGCATTGAGAAGTGGCTGGAGGGCTTTGACAACAATTGTCATGTTTGGTCTGAAGTCAGCTTCATACTGAACACAAAGTGCTGCCACAGCAGCCAACTACATATATATTATATCCACGTCAAATAATCAGTCACTGGTCTTAAAGTATCTTGGAAGTTATATAGTTCAACTTTAGTGAAAGAATATAATTATAAGGGAGCCAACCTTAGCAATAGCCTTTGGTGGATAATCATTGTTTAGCTTAGGATCCACACACTGTTTCACTTTGTCCTCACTCAGCCTTGGAGTTGCCTGAAATAGTTAAAAAAACAAATTATCAGAATAGTGGATCATAACGGAAAAGTAAACTGATTAAGGTCATCAAACACATACCCAAGTCACAAGACTTTGTTGCCCTTTGGGCATTGTGTGATCTACAGGCTTTCTTCCTGTCAAGAGTTCTAAAAGCACAACCCCAAAACTGTAAACATCACTTTTCTGTGTTATCTGCCCAGTCATGGCATACCTGGAAGATGAAAGTAACAATTTTAAAAAATTAATCAAAACTTACGTTAACATGAACTTATTTCTAATACACAAATGATAGTGTTTCAAATACCTACATACAAATATTTTTCAATTTGTATATATAAGGTTATGGCTATGATTAGTTATATGACAATTATTAAGCCTACTCCATGTTAATAAAAAAATAATATAAGCTATAAATTATATATCAAGTGATTCAACTCAAATCCTTTTTTCAACCAAGCACAATTTACAATAATTGGATCTCTCAAATTAAACTACGAGGGAGGTTTCTTTAAGGACATACTCTGGAGCATGATAGCCAAATGTTCCCAAGACTCTTGTTGAATGTAGCCGAGCAGCTGTGTCAGAAGACTGGTTTGTCAAGCTGAAATCAGCTATCTTGGCCTCATAGTCATTGAACAGTAAGACATTACTGGATCTAACATCGCGATGAACAATAGAAGGCTGAACCTTTTCGTGAAGAAACTCGAGTCCTTTTGCTGCACCAAATGCAATTTTTGCTCTCTGGCTCCAGCTTAAAACAGGACCAGGTTCAGCCCCTTGCACACCCTTCCTTCCTGGCAATAGCAAAATCCTAGCGCTCAGACAAAAAATCAGAGCTAGTTTCTTAATTGAATAGTTATATTGCTAAGTCTACCGTGTAACACGTCGTGCAAAGAACCAAGACTTGCATGTTGATAAACCAAAATTCTGTTTTCTGCCTCTAGACAATATCCAATCAACTCCACAAAATTGTCGTGCTTCAATCTTGAAACAACTGATAACTGCGCAATCCATAGTGACATGTGTGACAATACCATAAACCAAAAAATTGCTTCAATGGATATACAATCTCAAATCAAAATCTTACCTGAGCTGCGAAATCGCTGTTGTCAGGTTCTGGGGAAGAACTTGTATCCAGCTTCTTAATTGCAGCATCAGTACCATCACTCAGTTTTGCGTAGTAAACTCGTCCATAGGAACCTTCACCAATAAAAGCCTTTGTACCAAAGTTTCCTGTTAACCTATTTAACTCATCCAATGGCATAGAGGGTATCTCAATTGGCAATGCTTTCTGCGGAGCACCACTCTTTGCCATATTGCCCCTAGGCTCTCCTCTATCATTGCCTATATTCATAGAGGGTTACTGCAAATTATTACCCATAACCTTGCAGAGGAAAGGTATTATAGAGTATATAGTTAATTGAAGAGAAAAGAAGTTTGTGCCAATGATTGGATTCCAGTTCACTATTATGATGTATGACATAAAAACGAGTAACAAAAATAAGTAAATCTTAAAACATGTTAGCTTTTGTTACAATGGTTTGCGGGACAATTTTGTGTTCTAGAATACCATAATCTTATACTCATTCTCTGCATTTTGCATTTTGGTGGAATTTAGGTTACATATTCTCCACAAAATTCCACACAAGGAAAACACATTCGTTACAAACTTTCTAAATGACGACTCAGTCCCATTATTATACTTCGACTTTCAATTGTTCTTTGAGTGTCCAAGAGCATGAAAAACTTTTGACAATAAGAGAAAAAACTGCAGATACACCGTGAATGTTGAAGTTGAAGCCAAATACAAAGAAAAAGAACCATATATAAAAATGAAAATGTTACCTCCTCCACCATATGTGCTACCCCCTCTAGGTGGTACAGAGGGGTATTGGTTTGCAGGGGGACCGCTACTCTCCTCCTCTGCACCTCCGCAGCACAACATACTTCAAGTAGTCCTAACTGCACTCTCAATAATCCATTCACAATAAACGATATCGCAATGAATCACCTGAAAGCATTTCAAGGCTCAAAAATTTTCCACCACATAGCATATTCACACAAATGTTGGTGATAGGGAAGCTACCCTTTAAGCACCACAATTTGTCTTTCAAAATGACTTAGCAGACAACGTGAAAATAAGACAGTCCAGTCACACACTCAGAAAAAATGGACAACGCACCTCAATTGTAAATTTGTATAAGAATAATATTCATGGTTTCAGAGACGTGATTAAAAAAAAATATAAAAAAATCATGAGGTGAACTCTAGGCTACTTATTTCTTTGGTCAATTATCATGTGTATCAGCTATACATACAAAACCTCAATAACTTTGTCTCCAATTCTATAGTTTTGGACAGAGACAATATACCTATTCTTTCTATAAGATCAACAAGCAAGGATTCATCTGCATTTGCAACTGATAAAACATTATTTTATTACTGACATGGACAGGAACGGTACATAAAAAATGAAACCCTCCTAACATAACGAAATCTAAAAGTAAAAGAAAACGGATAAACATACGAAAGACGTTAAATCTCTATGTTGTTACCTGGGGGAGTCAATATGCGATGAATTACGTTGGCAGAGAGGATGAGTGGACGAGAAAGAAGGACATTGGGAAGAGAAAATAAATAAAAAAAACAGAGAGGAAATGCAGAAGGAGGGAAATTTGGGTGTGTTTTTAGTTTGTAAGTTTGGTGCAATGAAACTTGGTTTTGGAAGAATGGGAAATGTTATTGTGTTTGCCGGGAATATCGGTTGGGAGATGAAGAAGGAGAAGGTAACCGATCGAACGAGTGCGCCAACGTTGCGAGGGTTGTGTTGCTATGTACGTGCCCCCACGATGGATGCACGTCCTTCGTTCATTACCTACTATTTTAGTGTTGTCTTTTATTATGCTTATTGTTCTATTTGTTATTCTCACATGACAGCAAAACACAACAACGTGCAAATCCTATGCTGGCAGGCAACTACGTAACACCCTGCTCGTACCAGGGCTTTCCATTTACCAAACCTGCCTGTCTCGCCATAACTCTATTATTATTATTATCAATATCAATGTTGGCCAAAACTTGACAGGAATTTTTAACTACTTTCTATAGTTAATTCTTAAAGACATTAAGGGTGATGTATTGGTTTATGATTTCGTAGGATTTTAAAAGACTTTTTTTGAGTAAAAAAGTCCATTGGTATTCAATCAGGATTTTATGTCACTTAAAAACAATCAAGTGGTATTCAATCTAGATTTTCAAGATTTTTTAAAGAGTCCATTAAAATCCACTGGTATTCATTTGAGATTTTTTACAACTTAAAAACAATCTATTGGTATTCAAAAATATAAGAATTTTAAAGGATTATTGTGTGAGAGGGATTTTGAAGGACTTTCTAGTGTTATTTATAAATACCAGATTCATAAAACAATCTCATCCAAACCCAACGGATTTTGAAAGATTGTTTGAAGTGATTTTTCAAGTGTTTCAATAATTTTCAAGTGAGTTTTTCATCTTTTTTTTTTCTATGTTTCTGTCTTCATTAGCTTATTTTTAAAAAAATAAAATATTATTAAAATATTTGTTAGAATAATTTACATTTATAAATATCGTTAAAAATTATCATATAATATATAACTAAAATAAATAAGTAAATAAATATTTGTTAGAAACTGGACAGTTTGTTGATGAAAGATCTAACAAAACATATGTAAGTTATTTAAATAATTATTGATGTTATTTTTAATCATATTTACAAGATTAGTAAAACAATGCCTTTGTTGAATAACAGGAAGATTTTCTCAATAAATTTTCTCAAGCTATGTCTGAGGCTGCATCATCTGTTGATGAATCACATCCTATGGACCCTGGTTTGGAGGATACAATTAGGTCTAAGTGTTGGTCTGATGCAGTTGGTGGCATGACCACTAAGGGGCGACTGTATGGAGCTGGAGACCTTGCTCGTCATTTAAAAGATACACA